CTTACAGCATCTGGTATTTCCAAGTGGTCACTCATCTCGCTATTAATCAGGCTCGATGTTGCTTAATTTCGTTGATCGTACGGGAACCGGTATTTCAAATGTGTCCGTAAGCTCTATAAATTTCAGAGTTTAGGCGGAGACGTTAGAAGTAAAGAGTTGAAGTAGAATTTAGAAGGCACCGGAACCCAGTCCTAAACAGGAAATAAACCTTCACTCTTGTTCAAAAAACGAATATTGTCGCTTGACATTTCAGATAACAGCAGAAAAGTTTTCACTTAAGAGTATGTTTACATTTTTTTTCGTATTTTTAAAATTGACAATCGTAAATTTTTATGATGAATGCACATTCTAATATCTTCCTGGAATTTATTATTCATTTTTTGTTAATGGAACGTTACAGGCTAATAATGTATTACATGTTAACGTTACAAACACGTTTTGAGGAGTCTACTTTTTTTTTTGTTTTGCAATTTCTATGTAACGTTAGAGAAACGATACAGTAACGTCATTTTGTTAGCATGGGCAGGAAACTAAAAAAAAAAAAAAAAAAAAAGAAAGAAAAAAATGATTCATATAAGTCTTTGAGATACGAGCATGCAAGCAAATGAACCGGATTTGGTTGTTTGTGAATAGGAAAAATAAAGATTAATCGTAGAAGTAACTGAAGATCGTAGAAGTAACTGAATGAGGATGAAAAATTACAACAAAAATATGGGTGGAAACACGAATACTTTGCTGGGGAACGGAAGAACCTATGGAAAGTGAAAGTTAGAGAAATACCCAAAGTAATCGGTACACGTATGTTAAAACCGTATGAAAAAAAGACTTCAAGCCAGATTGAAGGAGTTTAAAATTCAAGAAAGGATTAAGGCTGTTTAAACTGGAATTGCTGGGGTGCGTTAGGATATTGAGGAAGGTGCTAGAAATTTGAGGTGACTTGTTGTCACTCAGTCCCCAGCGTCAAGCAGCAAAATTCCTGCGTAAACATGTAAATGCATGCAAAATATAATAATATTAATACGATAACTCTACTTGAGAATGTGAACACATAAACAATTATGTATTTCTCATCGCTTATCTGAATGAAATTATACTAGAGAAGACGTCTCCTACTTGTTTTTTTTAATCTTCACAGGCTATCTGAAGCGTACGAGTTAGAACATGCCCAATGCATTCGTACGCATAAACGAATCTATATACATGTAAGCCTTGTATACATAAGGTATGGTGATAATTATAGTAATCTGATAAAGGACACAGCTGTTATATATATATATATATATATATATATATATATATATATATATATATATATATATATATAAATAAATTTTTATAACGGTGAATGTATGGAGAGATAGAACCGAACAATTTCGGCTTAAATGCTGTCACGTTTCAACGTTTACACTTTGCCACGTAATGACGTTTTTAGTATAGAACTTTTTTTTTAATATTGAGCACTTTGTTTACAAAAATCTGCTCCTATTAAAGACATTAAACTCTAGTAATTTATTGACAGTGGGGTTATATATTTTTATAATATAACACACACACACACACACACACACACACACACACACACACACACACACACACACGTATATATATTTGTACGCCCCCCACTATACTAGATCTCAATTTTCATAAGGTAGTATTCATGTAAAATACATATTTTATTGTAACCTAATTATGTACAATAATGAATCATATGCAACATAGATGAACAATTGAATTAGAAAAATTGAAAATAAATACATTGTATCTAAATAGAAATTAGAGACATGTCATAATAGATCATTCCCTTTTAAATAAATCAACAATGTTTTGCAGCAATTTTTAGCATCAATTTGAGATTTTTCTTCTTAAAAAGTCGATGAATTTTAACACATTCGACATTATGGTTAAAAAATAGTGAATTTTATATCGTGTTTTTCGAGAACTTAGCATGAACCAAACAAATTCACGGATTTGGACGAAAAAAAAAAAATAAAGACTCTAGAATGATGTCATAATCCACGAAAATTTTTCATCCTTTAAATAGTCAATTGTGCTTAGTTTAATTTGTAACGTATATAACTGTAGGTAGAAAAAAGCAAATCTTGATAAGGTAGCGAGGGTCACAAAACATTGCTTGGAGCCAACAATCAGGTTTCCCTCTCCCCCTGGTCGAGGGGTTCGGAGGTAAGACCCACCGGTCCTGCATATAGCATATTATCCGTAAAAAAAAATATGACATTTATTTACATCTGATTTGGCGCGTTTGAATGTGTTGCTCTCCGACACTTCTGCCTAAGGTCAAAGTGTAGTATATGGGCTCGCGTAAAATATATATGTATGAGTATATATTGCATTTGTAGCACTGTAGATGCAAAGGCGAATAAAATGAAAAATATTAATTGATTCGTGATATTTCCGAGGCATAGTGAACCGTGAATAATCATCTTCCGTGGATTGAATAAAGAGATCAATTCAAAATTCCAAAGAACGTTATTGTACTGATAAATCATCAGTTACTTCCCCTTAAGGTCTAGGAGGTATAAAAAGCACCCCGTAATATCCGTCGGTAGACGAGTAGTCAGAGTAAAGTGCAATAAAGCTTGGTATAAGTTTATTCACGCGTTTTTACTTCAGTTATCAAGTATGACAGACACTTAAAGAAGGCCGGAGAGTAAAACAGTTGAAAAGTTGTGAGTATGCCCCACCCAAGATGAGCATCTTTTTTTTTTTTAACTCATGTCTCTTGTTGGCAATCGTGGCTCTTCACAACTTCCTAAGCAATGTCTGTCCTCTTTCTGTTTCTTTCATTGTCTGTCCTGTCATCCAATAACACGAACTCGTTAGGTAGTTTTTATTTAAATGTCTCGAAAGATAATAACGTTGCTAATTTTTATTGTTGCATTTTATACGAAAAGATTTTATATGACATTTTCAGCTAATTTAATTTTACATTTTTTTTAGCTCAGATGTTGATACCAGAACACTGACAACACCATTTTTCTCAAATTACCCTAAAAGAAAATTCCTGAATCTTGAACGTCCGCTGATTCCCACCTAAAAACGTCACAAACACATAAAATGTAATATCAGCATTCAACAATGCTACAACCTTCAACGCTAACCACAATTATAGCCCTTCTATAATATCAGTGCTAACATACTTCTGTTTAACTATTCCAGCGGATGAAATTCTTCATGCTCCAGCACTTTGTATGCTCGTAAAAGAAATAGTTCTTTTTTGAAAAAAAAAAAGCATAAAAAAGCAAATCTGGGTTAACTTTAAGACTGGCTCCAACGATTTCAACTGAAAATTAATTATAACATTTCTCATTTACATGTTTTAATATTACTATTTTTTTTTCATTTTTAATTTTTACCGCTGACGACATAAACGCTTCCCTGTGACTTCCAGGATTCCCTTACATGTAGTTTTCTTGAATCGTTATTTATCGCTTGACAAATCCTGAGAAAGTATGAAGTAATAAAGAAAAACAAAAAACAAAAAACAAATGAAAAAGAAAAAACATTAACAAACTCCTAAATATTAAACCCTAAGTCAGCATTGACGTCATGGCATTAGTTCACTCATTTTGCAATCGCCATAGACTTCATCATTGACATGATTCTCCAGTATTTCACTCATAGCTTCATTAAAATTCCTTCTGACTTCTCTGCAACATAATCAAATCTATAATGCTATTAATAACTTACAAGAATGCAATTAATATTTTCAGTTTTCAAAAATAAATGCAGAAAAACTATGCACAGTTAAGTACATTTAAGAGATAGAGATGTTTAGAGATTGGTTTGTGAAGAATGTAACCGTGTCTGCTTATCACAAGCTGGGCTGAAAAAACTCATTAGGAATCGTGTGTAGAGGCATCAGATTGAATATATATATATATAAGTCAATAGAATGATGTGATTTGTACTTTGTGCTATAAGCAATGCAAGAACAAAACTGGTCACACAACGAATGGGAAGGTACATAATAGCAATTAGGAAAACAGAGATAAACATCTTAAATACATTTTTGTCAACATTGTAACAGAGTTTTCAAAAGCCTTTCTAGTTTTAAGTCATTACAGAGCCATACAGAGTTATGGTTCCAAGATGATTATCCTTATACTTGAACAGGCAAGTGTTTTATTAAATTTTTCTAATGCTCTTACAGTTTTTTTTTCTATCGATTATTTCACTTAATCGATGTAGAGAATGCATACCTATAAGTTCGCAGGTTCACTACCATCAAAGCTTCTCATTGTGATGTCAAAGCTTTCGTCTTTCTTTTTGTAATATACCAGGCTACTGTAAAATACATAGGAGTAATTGAAGAACACTGAAAACGGAGAAACTACGCACACAAAGCATCATTTACAAATAGTAAATACGCGAATAGCACAATGTTTCTAAACATGTATAGGAAAATATAAACAAAAACCAAAAATATCATGGAACATAATGAAAACATCGTCAGCCTGCAATAATAAATCCCCAAACCGTAAACTCTGCCTAGAGGGGAAATAAGCTATAATTATCTTCTCAAACAAAAAAAAATTACGAAATAAACGATCATAACTCGTACTAAAATGCAAACACGAAAACAAATTTTTACTACGTTACTTAAAAATCGAAAATTAAAAACGAATACATTGTAAAACACCATCATGAAAAATACAAATATATGCACTATATACAAATAGTATTATAAAATAAATACAAATAACCACATTCGGATAGACAATTATTTCTACGAAATAGTCTCTCGAATAATTTGAAACAACCATTACCGACCACTCGATAGCCGTTAGGATAATACATTATAATATTACCCATAACGCATATTTGACCAGAATATGTAAATAATTGAGAAAAAACACAACATACATGGCTTGAATATTGCGTTGACGCATGAAACAGACTGTCGCCGCTTGGTGTTGATCTCAGTGTCCATTGATCCCACTAACGCTTTTGGTTTTTCTTTTCGGGTCAACTGAGTGTATTTCTTTAGGATATTTTTAAGAAATGACTTTTAAACTTTAATGCCTCCAAAACGAAATTGCTCTCATTTACCCACCACAGAGAACCCTGCCTGTCTCCCA